ATGCTTGCTAAAATTAACACTGCCCTCCGTCTCAAACCCTACATGTGTCATAGCCTTAATAAGGAACAGGGATGATCTCAGCACTAACAGGTTTGTAACACTTTATTTGAAGTGGTGCTCACGAGGCATCATAACCACAATATGACCACAAGTGCTTTAATATTAGATGTGATATGATGAGGAAGAAAACTCCAGGGTGACTGACTGCTGAAATACCACATTCAAACTCCACTAAAGCTGCATTAGACATCGTCACATGATGGCTGCTTCAAATGGCTGCAAGAGGCAGCTGTTTAACAAGATATGAAATTGAATTCATAAAAATTCTCTAAAGTGAAGTCACAAAGCTCACTCATGTTTACCAAACCAGCCAGTGTGGGATACTGCCTGCATGAAGACAGCAAAGCGATGACAGGGGGGAAAGATTTAGAATGTAAACTTTTTATTCTTAAGTCAGTCAGTTCTTCATTCTTTGGGGGGATATGTGACCATGCCCTGACACAAGAACTTTATTAGTTAATATTGTCTCAGTTACTGTTTAATATGCTATTTTCTCTGTTGCCTCCCACTGTCATTTTGTTTCTCTAAAACACTGGTGTACTTTTACATGCAAAATGTAGCTTTAATGCAGGCCTGTGCCACCATACATTCTAATGTTAATTGTTTTCTGAATGTAATGTAAAGCTGCATTCATCTAATTTCTGATTAATTCATTTTTATGGTCACTAGAGAGTAGCAGAACAGGCTAAAAACAACAATCTTGACATATTATCACATAAGTTTTTATGGCTAACATGTTAGCAAAGAGTTGCCTATTTAGGTTACATGTCCATCAGACACTAAACAACATTAGCCTTCATTTGGAAGACCAACATTCTCTCTCCTTTTAGCTCGGAATTAGCCCCAGAGTATAATATCTGTCGCTTTAGCTGCTAAATCTTCACCAGCTAGTCGCTAACGTTATCTGTCTGCTGTTAAGTGCTAACATCCTGCCGCAGCTGGAAACAAGGTTGATGTTAGC